CAGTCTTAATGTGGGAGACTTTGCACATGAACTTGACCTTGAAGCATCAGTAGGCTAGGTAAGGTTCAGTACGCATCATAGTTCACTCTGGAGGTCTTTACACGTGTTAAGTATCTCCTGGAGGGTTACTCTCAGACTGCCAGACTCCTTCCTGGCCAGCTCCCAGTGTGCTGCGTTATCCAAAAGTTAAATCTGTTGACCCAGATTTGTCTTATATTGTCATTGTCATCCTATCTTGTCCTTGCTGCAGATAAATTAAGAGTTGAGTGGGTTTATAAGGAGGAGCATTAAAATCTTCCGTGGATTGTATAAAGATTCTTAATAATCTTCATTTTCTTTGGCCCTGGGCCTCCATCCTAGGAGAATTGAAAGTGTAAGCCAAGATTCATTCAACGTGGCATTAACTGTAAGAATTAAAAAACTGAAATAGCCCAAATATCAGAAAGATATGAGTGAGCAGGGTATCTGAAGGGATCTATCACAGCCTTAAAGATATTAACAAAAAATTTTAAATGACTTGTTGGAAGATTATGATAAGTGCAAAAAAAAAAAAACAAAAACAGAACACAGACTTATATTCAATAGAGGCAAATAAAGAAAAAGTCTGCTTGAAGCCCCCATATGTCAGAACTTCCTGTAAGAGGTTGAAGGCACAATTCTTTCTATCAGCGCTAACAGTCCAGCTTCCTGGCTTATGCTTTTGGTCAGGCGTGAGGGACAAAGGAGAGATTGTGGGCCATCTTTTGGGTTATTTCCGATTCAGGTTGTATTCCACCGGAAGTTTTCCTACAATAAAGTTTAAGCACTGGACGCCACATCCAGTGCTTAATGAAGAAACAGAGCAACAGTCTGTTCCCGGGGGCTCTGCAGGGGAGCTATGGGGCTGGAGTCTGTGTGCGTGCTCAGCCATGTCTAACTCTTTTTGACCCCATGGACTATAGCCCGCCAGGCTCCTCTGTCCATGGGATGGTCCCAGGCAAGAACACTGGAGTGGGTTGCCGTGCCCTCCAGGTGATCTTCCTGATTCAGGGATCAAACCCGCATCTCCTGTGGCTCCTGCATTGGCAGGCGGATTCTTTACCACTGAGCCACCCAGGAAGCCCAGCTGTGGGGTAGGACCAGGCCCCAAACCCAGTTTGGGTGTAACTGCACACTCTGGGGCAAGTGCCAGGTCCATCCCTGAATTTAATTGAAACCCAAGTAGACTCTAGTCTGTGTGTCTCTTCACCCACAAGGTGGTAATGGGACTATTAGCAGAATGCCCAGTATGCATCCAGAAATTCAAGACTCAGTCATATCGACAGAAGCACTTCCTTGGGGGAAGACTAGACAACCCACGTTCAGGGAGCAGTAACCTGAGAGCACAGTCCCAGGCAAACTCGCTCTCCTTCAGAGTAAGTGTTCATTGAGTAACCACAGGGGTCTTGCACTGCAGTAAGTGCCAGTCACGTCAGATCCTGTCTTCTAGAGCTTGATGTATTGTACCCTGCCAGACGTAAGTCTGCAGATGTTGCTGCTTTTGTGACGTGTCTCAGTGGCTGTGGACGTTGTTGCCTTGGGTCTAGCAGGGCCTGGAAATAAGGAACCGTGACCACCTTTTAGTCCACATTCTGCTGCGGGGCTTGTGGCCACCTGCTGGCTGGGGCCGACTTGCCCCAGCCTGGTGGAAGCAGCAGCAGTGACAAAGGGTGGGAACATACTCGTGTGAGCGGGGCGAGGGGCAGGGTCGGCAGAGGTCAGTAAGCCAGGCCTTCGGCTGCTTCTGGGAGGCCCGACCTGGTCCTCCCACCTGCTTTCTGCTGCCCACACCCTTCCCAAGCTCTTCTTCCTAATCTAGTCTGTGCACTGATCAGGGGTAACTGCACTCTCCAGCTAAAGCCCAGCGACTATGACCATCTAGCAGCATCCACCAGGAGGCGTCTTCCCTAGCCGTCCATTGAAACCACCTCATTTTGAGAAATTTAGACCTTGGGTGTGTGACTTTATAAAGATGAGGCTTTGAAATAACTTTTTGGTCCAAGTTTGACTACTGAAGACATGAAAGGTCTAACACATGAATATTCGTTCAAGGATGCCGCATCCATTTTTAACTGAAAATGTAGGGTGAGGGGGAACGTGTGACCAAGTACGTTTTTTCATTTGCTTTGGGAATAGTATGATCAGTGTGTCATTTTCAAAGTGTAGATCATTCATGGCCTATTTTTAAACCCAGGCTTTTCAGGTGGCTCCGTGGTAAAGAATCGGCCTGCAAAGCAGGAGACACAGGTTCAATCCCTGGGGGAGGAAATGGCAACCCACTCCAGTATTCTTATCTGGGAAGTCCCATGGACAGAGGAGCCTGGTGGGCTACAGTCCATGGGGTCGCAAAGAGTCAGACTCAACAACAACATTTTTAATCCCAAGCCTGCTCCTAACAAGTGAGTTCTGAACGTAATCCTGGTCCGCCTCGTGTCCAGTCCTGTGTGTGGGAAATATAGCCTTACTTCAACAGCAGCTTACGTTAAACCTAATTTTTAAAGTAAGCCAACTATGAGAATGATTGTTTTCTCAAACAAAATGTTGGTGCCCTGGACCCTGTGTATTAACCTGGTTGTGTCTGCAGTCGAGCTATAAACATGATTTAAGCTCCATGTTCTTGACCTGCTGTTTTCATGAGAGAAACTAGGAGACTGGCCTGCCCTCCACTGAAGCTCCCAAGCAAGACAGAGCTGCACACCCAGTCCCCTCCGGTGCTGTCTGATGGGCAAGGACTGAAAGTCAGCAAAGCAACGAGATCTGGTTTATTTCCTCACTGGCAGCCAGTTTATGAACAAGGCGGGGAGGATATTCCTTGGTAAAGAATCTGCCTGCCATGCAGGAGACCTGGGTTCGATCCCTGGGTCAGGAAGACCCCTGGAGAAGGGAATGGCAACCCACTCCAGTGTTCTTGCCTGGAGAATTCCATGGACAGAGGAGCCTGGTGAGCTACAGTCCATGGGGTCGCAGAGAGGTGGACACGACTGAGTGACTCACACACCCCCTGAGCAGAAGACTGGCACCCACTTACTGGGGCCCCCGAGGACCTGCCGACCTCAGGCAAAGGGGCCTGTGCCCCTAAACAGCTTTATGGAGGAAGGTGACACCACCTGACTCCAAACTTTCTCACAGGGCCATCCCATCCCCTCTCGCTGGGGGCAGGTGACAGCCATCGCAGCTCTTTCTGCAGCACTCTGGACAGCCCGTTGCCTCTGCGAGTGACCGAGGCTAGTCCTCACGACACAGGCTCTGTCCTCCTTTTACCGGTGGGGAAACTGAGTCTGGGGACAGAAAGAGGCTCAGCGACCCACCCCCCACCCCCCCATCCGCAGCTTGTCTGGCAGAGCCAGGGACAGCACCCAGGAGCTCCTCCTGATGGGGGGCGAGCCAGTGGGGAACCAGGGTGGGACCAGCAAGCGGCGGAGCAGACCAGGTTCACTGAATCTCAGTCCAGCGGGAAGGGGTCCCCAGCAGAACAGGACGGCACTCAGGTGCCCGAGCTCATGAAGCTGCGGAGGGGTCTGCTGCATCCCGAAGGGTTCGCTGTCCTGCTTGTACCAAGTACAAGGAGCTGGCTTGTTGCAGCAGCGGTGGGGCAAGACTGCCCTCTGGTGGGCTGATGGAGCATTGCCCTAGCCACATTCCGGTCTAAGGCTGTGTTGCTTTCCCAAGCTGTAGCCATGCAGTGATTCTTTCTATGGAAGGAATTCAGCTTTCGTTCTTTCTCAAGCAGTCTGGCCCATAGAGGCTTTCTTGACCTCTGAGTACTGGCCATCATTTGTCCATCTTACAGGAGGCTGGGTTTTCGTTTTGGTTCTCTCCCCCATCCCTCACCTTGACAGGAGTCTTGCTTCCCTAACAAGATTCAGGTTCCTAAAAGCAAGGATTATGTCTGATTCTTCCTCAGCTTCTACCCTGCTGTTCCCTTAGCTGGACATGAACCTAGAAGTTTCACCAGGATGGAAAGGAATCCTTTCCGCCCCCCAAAAAAGAATTCCACCGCTTCTCATTTGCTCCTGAAACATTTCATCTCTGACCAGTAGTTCCCCAAATGGTTGAATCCTCAGAAAACTTTTAGAACTCAGTTTCCTGGGCCTCACTCCAGCCCTGCTGAATCAGGGTCTGTGGTCTGAGCCAGGAAATCTGCTTTACAAACTTCCCCAAGTGGTTTTTGATGTGCGGCCAGGTTTGGCAGCCAACAGCTCTAAATCCCCATTTACAATTATTTCTCGTAGCCTTTCCCCTTACCCGACAGCATCTCCAAAGGTCTTCAGCTCATGTCCATTATTAAAACTGACCATTTTGAGATTCCTTTGGACATATTCACAGGCTCTTCTAACTGCAGGGCTGGATGACACGGGGAAGAGGGAGGACCACAAGAGAAGGACCAAAGGCATGTGCTTTTGTTGCCAGTGGCCCTGCGTTCATAGCAGAAATCACTGAAACCAATACCTTTATGCTGACAGGGCAGGTTGTCAGTTTGTAGTCTGATGTTAAGGCTTACGCTGAAGAGGGAGACAAAGGTTAATTGAGTACCCAGTTATTTATTTTATTTATTACCATTTCTAACTCATCTAGTTCTCAGGTTCAACTGAACAAGGCGCTGTTGCCTACCCATCCCCACCCCCTCCTTTAAAAAAAGACAAAAGATAGGCAAATTGAGGCTTGGACTTCCCTGATAGCTCAGTTGGTGAAGAATCCACTGCAAGGCAGGAGACCCCAGTTCAATTCCTGGGTCGGGAAGATCCACTGGGGAAGGAAAGGAAAAGGCTACCCACTCCAGTATTCTGGCCTGGAGAATTCCATGGACTGTATAGCCCATGGGGTCGCCAAGTGTGGCACATGACTGAGCGACTTTCACTTAAGTTGAAGCTTAGGAAAGTTAGTAACTTGCCCAGTCACGTAATTCTGCATTCGAATACAGGTCTGATTTCCAAGGTCAGCTTTTTGGAAATGTCCCTACACGCTCTTTCTCACTCTCCCAGGCCAAGCGAGCCGTGCAGCGGGGAGCCACTGCAGTCATCTTCGATGTGTCCGAAAACCCAGAAGCTATTGACCAGGTAAGCTCCTGGGGCCGGGGCCAGGCCCAGGCTGCAGGGCCCCTGAGAGAAGCAGCTCCCTTACTTAGCGGGGCTTCGCCGTCGTGTCACCTGGGTCTTCGGGGCCCTTGTGCTTGTCTGTCCTCATTAGTGATCCGTATCTGCACATCGTCCTCCAAAGCGAGTGTGTCGAGAGGGGTTAAGCGCCAGGGAGCTGGGGGCTGGGAGGCATTGTCACAGACCCTTCATCCTAAAACAGGGGGCATCCTCAGCTTCATCTGCCTGGGAGCCCCCAGTCTATGATGCTGGTGTTTGGGGATTTTCCAAAGGGAATTTCGTGTTCTTTTCCTCCAGTCTTTCTTTCTCTCTCTCCGGCTTCTTGAAAGTAATTACGTCTTCTAAGCAGCACCGTCTCTCCTTGCTTAGCTGAACCAGGGCTCAGAAGACCCGCTCAAGAGGCCAGTGGTGTATGTGAAGGGCGCAGACGCCATCAAGCTGATGAACATCGTCAACAAGCAGAAAGTGGCGCGCGCGCGGATCCAGCACCGCCCGCCTCGAGTGAGCCTCCGCCGTGGTCCTCCGCCACCTGCCCCTTCCGGCTCCGGCCTTTTTTTTCTTTGCTTCCGGCTTTTTCCCCATCTAAAATGCTGATGCGCCCCGAGGGACCTGCAGGTTTAGAGCAGATGTAAGCCCAGAGGCCAGGGAGAGATTACCAGTTCTACTTGAGGGCATCTGAAAAGCCCTTCCAGAGATAGATGACTTGTGACCAGGTGTCTCTTCCACCCGGAGTCCCCTCCGGGCGACCTCCTTTTTCCTCTTCTGTGCCATCTTCCCATGGAAGGCTGACTGAGGACTGAAGGGAAGGGCACCTTACCCTCAGCTGCTTTTCCAGTGTCTCCCTTCTCCCAGGGGTCTTCACTAAGAGTATGAGGCCTGTGCTTCCTCCTTCCTGTGGGGCAAGTGCATTACCAAAACCCCCTAACCTGTCCTAGATGCTTTAAAAGTAAGCTTTCAACTGGGATCGGAGCTCACGACTTCCAGGTGGTTAATGGAGAGCTTTGTCTTCTAGGCTTCTCTTAGTTGTGTTAAAGCCACGCTGCTGGCATCCTTTGCCCAACCTCAGGCTCAAGATTCTAGGAACCTGGGACAGGTGCCCCATAGATGGTTTATTTCCTCTTCCCAAATATTGGAATATTCACATAAAAGAGGATCCTTTTGCAAAAATTACCCAGATGCTCGTAGCATTCAGGCAGCAAAACTCCACTCCAGCGGGCCAAATGCACGTCCCAGATCAGGTGGCTGTAAGGTTTTAGGAGGCTGTATGCCATGAGGGAAAGGTAAGAACTGAAACTAGAGGGAGTCTGCAGAAGAACTGACTTGCTGGCTGCTTTTTAAAGGAAAAAAAGAGTGCTTTGGTAAATATGACTCACTATAGTGGAAGCTGATATTTGTGGAAGCAGCATACAATTTTCTGAGTTGTTGTAAACCATTAATTATACGGTTAGTAATCACTGTTCCCTCAAAACATGACACTCACTCCTTTGTCCCATAAATGTGATATTTGTGTTTATTCGGAAGGGCCTCTCCTGCCGGTTACGGCGGACTCTGCGCTGTTCCGCGGGGAGCCCGGCTAAGCGAGCAGAGTTCTCCCAGCTGTTAGGAGGCCTGGCTAAGACCCTGGCAGGCCTCCCCGGGCCGCACCGCGGGGCACTGCCTGGGCCCGGAGAGCGCACCGTGTGCCTGTCAGCAGAAGCCCCGGCGGGTCCCGCAGAGGCGCGGAGACGCAGCCCAGTGGCTCCATCCCTCCACTGACCAGAGCCGACCCAGCCCACGTGCCCATCCCCGGGCCGAAGAGCACTGTGACTCACTGTGTCTGTGTTCTGTTCCAGCAACCCACTGAATACTTCGATATGGGGATTTTCCTGGCTTTCTTCGTCGTGGTCTCCTTGGTCTGCCTCATCCTCCTGGTCAAAATCAAGCTGAAGCAGCGACGCAGTCAGGTAATGGCCCTGGAGCGGCCCATTACCTTCATCCCCGAGGCCCCGCTGCCGGTGCAGACCAGGGCAGGGTGCTGACCCCACACAGCAGCCTCTTCTCTGTTGGCCCAGAACCAGCAAAGATGGAGAAAAGCCAGAGCAGAGCTCAGAGCACAGAGTCGTTTCGGTTCCAAAAGGGCCGGTCCTCTCAATACAAGGGCCGGGCACTGGGGCCGTTTCCAGCCACGGGTTTTTCCAAAAAAACGTTTGAATGTTAACATGGAGCCCGAGAGTCTTGCTCCCTAGATATGATCAGGGTACCAGCAGGCTCAGCATCACCTGGGAGCTTGGGAGACGCGCAGAGTCTCAGGGCCCGCCCTGGACCTGCCGCAGCCGAGTCTGCATCTACCAAGCTCTCCAGGCGATCCTCGATGCAGAGGAGCCATGCTAGTGCCCCGGCTGACACTGCACTGCGTGCTTACAGGAGGGAAGGGTTTGGGGGCAGAGGGCAATGGAGGGACACGCAGGAGTCCAGACTCTCAGGGGTGTAGCAGTGTGACGTCCCGGCAGAGAGACAGCGCCGAGGGTCGGGGGGGGGGGGGGCCGTCAGCGACAGAGCAGCAGCTGGTGTCTGTCAAGCACGTCCAGTCTGCCCAGTGCCAAGCACCCCCACGTGTTGTTCATTGGCCCGCGGGACGTTCTTCAGTGAAGGGAGGAGCCCTTAGCCCAGAGCAGAGTCGGCCAGACAACTTGAGCAGACCTCCGCCGGCTCCACTGCTCAGGCCAGCGTGGTGGCCACACGGGAGTCTGAAGACCTGTGCTCTTGGGCCGTGGTCTCTCCACAGCTAGTGACTCCTCAGCAGTCTGTCCTGGCCCGATGGAGACTAGCGTGAGGCTGAGCGCGGTCCCCCGGGGGGTGACCGCCGCTGTTAACACAACCCAGACCCTCACACGGGCCACGTTCTGCCGCGCAGAATTCCATGAACAGGCTGGCCGTGCAGGCCCTGGAGAAGATGGAAACCAGGAAGTTCAACTCCAAGAGCAAGGGGCGCCGGGAGGGGAGCTGCGGGGCCCTGGACACACTCAGCAGCAGCTCCACGTCTGACTGCGCCATCTGCCTGGAGAAGTACATCGACGGGGAGGTAATGGCGGGGGCAGGGGCAGGGCCGGGCCCCGTGGGGACAAGCTGAGGACGAGGTGCACGGGGCGCACGGAACCTGGAAGGACAGGCCCACGGGCCTTGCCCACAGCCTTGTGGGACGAGGGCTGAGCCTGCCAGCTGTCCAGGGGCATCCTGAGACCTTCCAACTGCTGTCCCCCCGGGAGGGGGTGGCCACGTGCATGGACCCTCTCCCGGGTGCCTGGCTGAACACAAGTTGGTCAGAAATGTATGTAACTCTGGTTTTAGGAATATTTACAGTTAATTTACATTTGAAGAAAGTGAAAGTGTTAGTCACTCAGTCATGTCTGACTCTTCGTGACCCCATGGACTGTAGCCCACCAGGCTCCTCTGCTGTCCATGGGATTTCCCGGGCAAGAATATTAGAGTGGGTTGCCATTTCCTTCTCTGGGGGATCTTCCTGACCCAGGGATCGAACCCCGGTCTCCTGCATTGGCAGGGAGATTCTTTACTGCTGAGCCACAAGGCGGGGGGGGGGGGGGGCTTCTTTAATTACATTTAAATTAATTAATTTACACTTATTAAATTGAGGGCAGGAGGAGAAGGGGGAGACAGACGAGAGAGTTGGATAGCATCACCGACTCAGTGGACATGAGTTTGAGCAAACTCTGAGAAATAGGAACGAGTCAGACATGACTTAGTGACAGAACAACAGCAGCACTTAATTTTAGCATTGCTCATCTGAAAACTCTGGAACTCAGCTTCATACAATTCTCTCCTAAAAGCTGTGTGGAAGACTTACACCCATTCTTACTTATAAAGAGACAAGGGCGGGGACTCCCCTGGTGGTCCAGTGGTTACGACTCCACGCTTTTTCTGCCAAGGGCTCAGGTTCAATTCCTGGTTGGGGATATAAGATCTCACAAGCCAGGTTGGTACGGCCAAAAAAAAAAGAAGAAGAAAGTAAGAACAAAGGATGTGATGTCTCCTTTTTCCTTCTAGCTTTTTTTCTGAAAATTTCAAACTTTCAGAAACGTTGCAAGAATCATACAGTGAATGCTGTTATCATTCACTGAGAATCACCCATTGTTAACATCTTCCTACATCTGCTTCATCTCCTTCCGGGTTGAGCACACATAAACACACGTTTGAGGGAGTAAGGAGGCAAACCACTTCAGAATTAGTTGCAGGCATTTGACGCCCCTTTGATGAAAGTGTCCTGCCGCTGTGTAGACTGTTGGATGAAAAACGATGTTTTGCAGAGGCCTTCAAATGAACAGTCTCACACAGTCTCTACCTGCAGAATGCTTGAGTTCTCATCTGGGCCCAGGAGGGTTCTAGCTCTGTGATCTTGGGCGAATAACTTTACTCTCTGTGCCTCTGCTTATGACATGAGCCCAAGATTGGCCTGGACTCCAGGTAATCACCAAGGTCACATGAGAAAATCCAGATAGGACTCTTCTCATGGTCAGGCACAGCCGTAGGGGTTAGTTGCAATATGGCTACGTCTAGCTGGTCAGAGAATGGAAAATCAAAGTAAAAGTGGCAAATCCAGAGGGTGTTCTGGGCTCAGGAACTTTTAGAGGCATTTCTGCCTGCCTCAGAACCCCATCACCTTCTCTCCATGTTAGGAGTTTTGTTACAAACCACGTGGCCTCAGGTGAATATCGAGGGTCCCGTGAAGGGGAAGGTGGGAGAACTTTGCGCCTTTGCTGCCACACCTGTCAGTCATGAATCCCAGGCATCGTCCTTTTTACCCACCTCATTTTGCATCCCAGAAATGCAAAAGGTTTTGGAGCGTACCTACCTATCCCTCACGCCCCCAGGCTGAGCACCCTGTACGAGCACACAGCTGTGGCGGGCCTGTGTGAGTGGCCCGAATGTGAGGAGAGCCTACTTCCTCCCTTGACACCAAGCACCGTGGTTGGAGCTAAAGATGGGGGTGGGGGAGCCTCCGGGCACCGCCACGGTGCACTGGGTTCCTTGGTCCACTCCGGCCCCACGGGAAGGAAGAAGCATGTGCGGACCGCCCTCTGCCCCGGCCCACATTCAGGCTGCGTGTCCTCTCTCCCGCCCCAGGAACTGCGGGTCATCCCCTGCACTCACCGCTTTCATAGGAAGTGCGTGGACCCCTGGCTGCTGCAGCACCACACCTGCCCCCACTGCCGGCACAACATCATAGGTAACGCTCCGCTGCCTCTGACCCTGCCAGGAGGCACTGTCTTTCCCGGGTGCTTAGTGGGAGCAGGACAGGCACCGCAGGCTGCTGAGCCGACAGCCCACCGAAGCACTGCTGCCAGGACCTGGAGGCGCCAGGGGGCCTGGGGGGCTCTGCTGGAGGGTCAGCCTGGGTCTGAGCTCTGGCTTTGACATGACTGGGTTCCTGACCTTGGACCAGGCCTCCAGCCTCTCCAGGCCCCGGGCCCACAGTCTCTTAGGTGGGACAACAGTGGTGACATGCGCCCTGCCTGCTGCCTTGGGGTCATGATGCTGTGTCACTGTGGGGGTGCCTGAGGGTCCAGAAGACAGGGTGCCTTCCTCATAGCTGTTTTTCCAAGAGGGTCAGGGCCTTTCCTCTCCTGTCTCGGTTGCTGTCTCTAGGCTCTTGTCACTTAGAGCAGCTGGGAGGTGGGAGATGGGCCCTAATAGGAGTGGCCACCCTGAGAGTGGAGGAGCAGGAGGCCTCTGCCCGCGTGGCCGGGTTTGGCGGGAGCTTAGAATGGGCCAGAGCCCCTCTGGTGCCAGCTGCCTCAGTCTGCCCGTGTCTGCCCCTCTAGCCCTGGGCCTCGGCGTGCTCTGCGCGCTGACCTGTTTCCTGCACTTCTCCCCAGAACAAAAGGGAAACCCGAGCGGCGTGTGCGTGGAGACGAGCAGCCTGGCGCGCGGGCGGCAGCAAAGGGTGGTCCTGCCGGTGCACTACCCGGGCCGCGTGCACAGGGCCGGCGCCGTGCCCGCCTACCCCACGAGGACCAGCATGGACGCCCACGGGAACCCGGTCACGCTGCTGACCGTGGACCGGCGCGGGGAGCAAGGCCTCTTCCCGCCGCAGACCCCCGCCTACATCCGCGGCTACCCGCCCCTCCACCTGGACCACGGCCTGGCCGCGCACCGCTGTGGCCTGGAGCACCGGCCCTACTCGCCCGCGCCCCCCTTCCGCAGGCCCAAGTTCAGCGGCCGCAGCTTCTCCAAGGCAGCTTGCTTCTCGCAGTACGAGACCATGTATCAGCACTACTACTTCCGGGGCCTCAGCTACCCCGAGCCCGAGGGGCAGCCGCCTCCCAGCCTGGCCCCCGGGGGCCCGGCGCGGGCCTTCCCCCTGGGCGGCGGCGGCGGCGGCGGCGGCCTGCTCTTCGCTCCCGCCGCCCCGGCCTCGCCCCTGGAGAGCGGCAGCGCGTCCAGCTTCAGCTGCTACCACGGCCATCGCTCGGTGTGCAGCGGCTACCTGGCCGACGGCCCGGGCAGCGACAGCAGCAGCAGCAGCAGCGGCGGCAGCTCGGGCCAGTGCCGCTGCTCGTCCAGCGACTCCGTGGTGGACTGCACGGAGGTCAGCAACCAGGGCGTGTACGGCAGCTGCTCCACCTTCCGCAGCTCGCTCAGCAGCGACTACGACCCCTTCGTCTACCGCAGCCGCAGCCCCTGTCGCGCCGGCGATGTGGGGGGCTCGGGCCGGGGCCCCGTCCTGCACCTCGATGGCTCCCCAGCCCCCGAGGAGCTCCCGGCGGCAGCCCGTGGCCCCGGCGCCGCGCGGGGGGAGCCCTGGCCCGGGCCCGCCTCGGTCTCGGCCTCCGCCTCGGGGGACCAGCTGTCCACTTGCAGCCTGGAGATGAACTACAGCAGCAGCTCCTCCCTGGAGCCCCGGGGGTCCCACAGCTCTACCTCACAAGGGGGGCTCGAGGCCTCTCCTGGCGCCGCCCCGGACCTCAGAAGGACCTGGAAGGGGGCCCGGGAGGGGCCGTCGTGCGCCTGCTGCTGTGAGCCCCCGGCCCCCGCCCCAGACCCCAGTGCGGGGGCGGCCGGGGGCGGCGCCTTGTACCTGGGCCCCCCGCCCTGTGAGGGGTGCGGCCCCCCAGGCGGGGAGCCACAGCCCACGAGCTCCCAGGGCCTCTATGGCCTTCACCCGGACCATCTGCCCAGGACGGACGGCGTGACGTACGAGGGCCTGCCCTGCTGCTTCTATGAAGAGAAGCAGGTGGCCCGTGGCCGCGGGGGCGGCGGCTGCTACGCCGAGGACTGCTCGGTGCGCGTGCAGTACACGCTGGCCCAGGAGGCCCCGGCCGGCTGTCACCCTGGGGCCCGGGACCTCAGCCAGCGCGTCCCCATCATTCCGGAGGATGTGGATGGCGACTTGGGCTTGCCCTCCAACTGCCAGGGGACCCGTGGCCTCGGCCCCTGGCGGGGGACGCTGCCCGGTCCAGATGCCCTGTGGCCCCGCAGGGGCCTGGGAGCAGCCCAGGAAGAAGAGCGGGTTCTGTGCTGCCCAGCCAGGGCACCACGGCCACCTGGCTGCCCTCCGGAGGATGTGGGGGCCCCCGGGACCAGCTCCCCCAGAGCCCTCCGGGACACTCGGGAGTCCAGCGCCACAGCACCCGAGGCTGCAGGTGAGAGCGGACGGTGACCGCAGGCCCGGGTCGGGTCTTCTCTCCCCGTGGTCACTTCCTGACTGACTTTCTTGGTGCACTTGGCTTTAAACCCCATCCGTACCTGGTGATTTCCAGGTGTTGCTCCCCCACTTACTCCTTTCTCTGCGCTCCAGACCTGTGGGCCCTGTGCATCCCTCACCTCTCCCCCAGATGCCCCGGACGCAGCCCACCCGACCCTCCGCACCCACTCCTCCAGGGCTCCCCACCCAGATGCCCAGGCCCCAGCCCCAAGCCTGCCCTGCCCTTCCCGCTTCAGGGTCTTGGGCTCCATGATCTGTCTGAAAATCCTCTGTGCTGATTTGCCCCTCATCCAGAAAGGGGAATCCCCAGAAAAATGAAGCTTAGCTAAAGACATGCAGAATTCCAGTCCAGATCTTTTATTATGAGGTTGAGCAGACATGGTCAAACTGCAGTCAAGTTTCCGAACATTTTGTTTCAGGAGTGAATGGTGGGCAGCCTAGCACCTTTGAGTAGCACCGGGACCATTCCATCTCCACAGTAAACCCCACAGGTTCTCTGCTGCTCCCCACCCGCTGTCCGCAGCCGGGCCCATTCCCTCTCCCCAGGGTGAGGGCAGTAGCCTTCTGACTGGTTTCCTGTGGCTGATCTTGCCCTCTGTTCCACATCAGCGCCACAGTTGTCTTTTTTTAAACATTAAGTCTGTCTTTACACCAGAAAACCCTTCACTGACTTGCCATTACCCTCTGAATTTTAGAAACGTAGACCCCTCTCCCAGCTGTGTATGATCAGGCCCTGCCGACCCCTCTGACCACCTGCCGCTTCCCTCCTCGTTCATGATGTCATCCGCCCCATGCCCCCATTCTGTTCCCCTAACATGCCAGGCGGTCCCAGCCCCCAGGTGCCTCTGCCGCTTCTCTCCTGCAGATCTCGGCTTAAGCGCCCCCAGGGGATGGGCCCCTGGGTCCCTTGCCTGGTCTCCGCACATGGTGCCCAAAGGCTGCGGGGACGGCCCCCTCCCCTGACGGTCATTCTCTCTCTCCCAGGACTGATATCTCGCCCGGCGGACAGCGGCAGCCCTGGAGCCTGAGCTCCGAAGGAACTCTTCGTGGAAATGGGAACTGTGTGGAGACTCCAAACTCTTGACTTCCTACAGAAAAAAAGAAAACAACAAAAAAAAATTTTTTTTAGCTTTGACAAACACAAAAGTGGTAATAAAGAGAGCCCTCCTTCTCAGCCCAAAATGTGAGCCACCTGTGGCAACCCCCTCCCCCCCCCCCCCCCCCATTAACAAACCAACAGACAAAATTCTGAGTCTTTTGCCTCTTTTGATAACATGTTACACTTCTGTTTTGTAAAGTGTGTGTGCTTGGGGTTCAGAGGTGTGTGGGATTGACTTCTCTGCTTTTTTTTTTTTTAAGATATTATATGTAAATGTAAAAAGTTATTTAAATATATATTTTAAAGAACCCTTACTGCCAACTTTTGCTGAAAAAAAAAAATCACTGCTGCATTAATTGAACCACATCATGTGTAGATACTGTTGTCTCCCTGGAGGGAGCTCAGGCCTTTGAAAAGCTCAGGGCTACACCTGCCTTAGAAAATGAACCAGAAACTTGAAGTAAAGCTAGTTGATATGGGTACAAACTCTGAGGAACAATGCAATGCTGCCTCTTTCTTTCTCGTGGCAAATCCCAATGTACAAAGCGTCAGGCCTCCTCGGAAGCCAGGCCTGTTCAGCCCGCACCTGCAGGCCACTGATGGCAACAGCCGGGGGTCGGGCGGAAGGTCTGCCGCACTGCGGAGCCGGGACAAGCCATTGCTACATAAGCCCCGGGGTGACAGGGATGATTCTACGCAGTGTCCTCTGTCCCCTCTGGTCCGCGTCCTAGATAGAAGGACTGAGTCCTGATCTTGGGCTTCCTGCCACTGGCTGCAGAGATGGTTCGATGTGGGGTGTGGGGACAGACACCCAGGAGGAATGAATGTACATGGTTTTGCAGCCTCGGTGTCTAACCCAAATTGGGGGAGGGGAGGGACGGAGGGCACCCTGGCGCAGAGTGGGCTTGTGCGCATGCGTCCGAGCCGGCGTGGTCACGCCCCTGGACTGTTCCGACTTTGGGATGTCTTCTTAGGGGCGCGTGGCAGGGACCCCGTAGGGTCTGAGCTCCGTATGAAAGTTTCCCATCCCATCGCTTCAGGGTTGTTCAGCCCTCTGCCTCATGGCTGAAATTGCTCATCTCGCCTGCAAATGTCTACTATCCTTTCTACCTAATGCACTATTATGTATTGATTCTCCATGAGACAGAGAGAAAGAGACTATCAGATAGTTTAGCCCCAAAGGGTAGGTTTTTGTATATTGTTCCAGCCTTTCGTTGTTTTCTTTTGTTGTTGTTGTCGTTTTAAGAGGGAGGGAGAGTTTAAAAACCCAAACCATTTTTTAAAAGATGTTTCCATTTTAAAAGGGAGAATCTATTTAAAGCTGTTTCAGATCAGGGATCATTAACCTCTTTGTCCAATGTATTTCTTGTCCTTAAAAAAAAATTTTTTTTTAGAGGAAACTAATCACCTTAGCCCTTGTGTCTGCTAACTCTTCTGGTCATTTCTGCTTATTCATTTATTCACCAAGTGTTTGCTTGTTGTCATCTGAAATGCTCATTTGCTGAATAGGAACCTTGAGTCCTGGCCCCCTGTAGATGGGGAAGCAGAGAACTCTGCCAGGGGGCTGTAAGACTCTTCCCCTAGGGCTGACCGCCCTAGGGGAGGTCAGCCCAGGGTCTGCACCAGAACATTTTGAATGAGAATCTTATTGAATCCCTTTCTTAAAAAGCCCAGCCTTTGGTGAGGACATCTACTTACTTCTGGCCAGGATTTGTCAGAAAGATATCTCAGCATCAAACGATTGAGCCATCTGCCCATTAAGGGGCTCGCTGTGGTGAGATTTGTCCCCCGCCTCCGCTGTGGGACATCCCTCTGGGGCCACCCCCACCCCCAGCCCCACCTGTGCACGGCACACCTGTTGGTGAGGGTGTGGGAAGTGCCTGCGCGGGCGACATGTGATCTGGGCCGCCTTTATTCCTGGGGCCGAGAGAAGCAGCTGCAAAGGACAGCAACTTGCATGGGGAACGGGTGGGGGCTTCTAACAGGAACTGCAAAAAGCAGCTTCTCATTGCTGAGATTCTGTTTGTCTGTGGTTTTGTGTTTTTTGTTTGTTTTTAATGCCTTCGAGTGCATATGCTCTTCTTTGTCTGAAACCCGACCCCGCAAAGTGGCTTGCTTTAGTCCCAACTGGGGGAAAAAACCACTCCTCAACAGCCTTAAGCAGTAAATGGATGAGGAGAACATGTGGCTTCAACTGGGCTTATTAGAATAAATGTGTCCAATTTTCATCTGAAAAGAGCAGTAACTACAGATGGCAAAAGAAACGCATTTAATTTTCATATTTTATAGGGTGGTAGAAACAGAAGAATGAAATTTTCAGACTTTGAAATCTCTAACCATTGTCTTAAATCTGTGTTGGGTCACAAAGCATAATGACCCAACTATATTGCCTCACCGTCCAAGTCAAAAGAACTGTCTTCTTTGAAGTCGTAAGACTCCAATAATGATAAGTATCTTTTCTCAGTGGCCTCTCCATGGTGTGTGGGGGTTATGTAGATGTGGAAACTGTAAGCCTCGAATCTTCCGTTGAGAACCACCCCCTACACACACACACACACCCATGAGCAGGAATGTGGCTATTGGCTGTGGTCCCATGGCCCAGCCTTGGGTGTAGGGCAGCCATGTAGATCGAAGAATGCTAAAACCAGTGAGAAATGGGGGTTTGGGAGTTCTGGTCCACCAGGTACCTCTTTGTGGATGCAGCCCGGGGTGCTGGCCTTAACTCCCCGTCTCTTTGCCTCCTCCTCACCTTGACCCTGCTTCTAACCCACGCCGTGTTATAAAGCTCCTTCTGCCCACCGCCCACACCCTCCCTAATGCGCTGCTAGCTCCTACTCAAAGCTCATGCAGGACTAATACTTTTAAAATGAGGTCTAAAAAATAATTACTAATCAAGAGTATTATTTTTTAAACAGAACTGCCTTTTTCTATTCTTTATATAAACTCTATTGTATTGGTCTAACAAGGCACTATTTTAAAATGTTTTTTAAAAAATATTTCTCCCATGGCACTTAAAAGATATTTTGTAAAGACTTTTGCTGTAAAGATTTTGTAATAAAGTTGTGTAAGGGCTCCTTCTCCAACATTACCATTTTTTTAAAATGTTTTAAAGGCTAGAAAACAACTTATGTATATTCTGTATATGTATAGCAGCACATTTCATTTATGGAAATATGTTCTCAGAATATTTATTTACTAATATATTTATCTTAAGCCATGTCTTATGTTGAGAGTGTGACATTGTTGGAATAATCATTGAAAATGACTAACATGAAGCCCTGTAAATACATGATAATTGCACACAGATTTTACATATTTGCCGACCAAAAATGATTTAAAACAAGTTGTAGTCTTCTATGGTTTTGTAACAAATTGTACAAATGACTGTAAAAAAAAAAAATACAATTTTATCAAGTATGTATTATATGTTGTCGTTGCTCTGTTTGGTGAAGGTCTTACAGATGCCACAAAGGAGACCTCTGCGTGAAGCAGTGCCCATCATCCATGGGGGCTTCTGTGTAAACAGAATTCAGGTACCTGGGGAGCCGGGTGATTCCCGGGCAAGCATTTGTGATTGTGTCCCTGATGGTGGTGGCAAGTGTTCTGCTCAGCCCTGTGTGTGTGTGTGTGTGTGTGTGTGTGTGTGGCCGGGGAGGGGGTGGGTGGGCGGGGGGATCCCAGGAGCCTACTTTTTAAAAACAGGAACCATAGGCTGGATGTAACCATCGACTTCACCTGCCAGGCCTTTTCCTACTTGGAAGACTGAGGCCCTCCGGCCCCTCTTTAAGGAAAAGGGACTTGTAGGAAAAAGGCTTAAGTGTCCAGCCTGGAAATGGCCAAACCATGAAGGTGGAGAGGGGGCCCTGCATCTAAAGTGAATCTCCTACACATCCATGCTTGCTTCCCCCCTGACCCGGGGAAGGTAGTCACTGATTTGTAAAGCACTCTGAGATTGCGTGGAAGGTGCAAAGCAGTGTTTATTTTTCAGACATCCAGCAGAGAACATCCTAATCCTGTGAGATCCGGTTCCTATTTCTTGCTCTTGAGCTATTTCTTGGGGACAGGCTCCTCCACAGGCTCCTTGTGGGCTTCCAGCCGCTTCCTGCCCGGCAGCAGGTCCTTCTGAGCATCTTTGGGGGCGGCAGCCTGTCTGCACAGAGCCTCCCAGAGCTTTTGTTTGATGGCCTTGCCCAGCTCCAGGCTGTACCTCTTGGGGGTCCCAGAAGGATTCCGCAGCATGGGCTCTACCACAGCGTGGTACGGAGCCCGGCAGCCCTCGGTGGGGAGGCCGTGGATGACTAACGCGTCCTCGGACAACTGCTGCCTCTTCCTGGTTTCGGGAATCGAGGCTCGGCCCTTCCAGGACGCTGTCCCCATGTCCCGGGGTAGCGCTTGGGTGGCAGCCACATGTTCAGCATATCTGCTCTCAAGATCTTGGCAGACCGTTGCTTTTTTCTCCTTTGAACTCTCTTTACTCTAGCCAGGAAGAAAGCAGAGAAGTCAAAACTTGAGAAGGGAGCTCAGAATAATTATCTGGGGTTTGTGTCCCCGAGTCTTGGTTACGGCCACAGCCAACACTTGTCTAGCATGTTCTAGTTCACTGCATTCCTTCAGAGACACCTCCGCGAGCGATTCGCCACAACACTGGAAGGTCAGTGGGACACAGCTCTAAAGGCAAGGAGCTGGGAATGGGTTTGCCCAAGACCACACAGCCATTGGGTGGGCCGTGGCTGTCACCTCCAGAGTGCCACACAGGACCCCAAGCATCTACTCTGCGCCAGGCTCGGCTTGCAAACCGTTTGCGTGTACTAACTCATTTCATCCTCATGAAACCCTATGAAGGAAGGGCTGTCACTCCCCGTTTTATAGATGACAAAAGCCAATTACAGTCAGAGTTGGGATCAGAACCCTGACTGACTAGCTCCAGGAGGCATTCTGTTTTTCTTTTTTTAATTGGAGTATAATTACCCAGCTTTCCTGGTGGCTCAGACAGTAAAGCATCTGCCTGGAATTCAGGTGACCCAGGTTTGATCCCTGGGTCAGGAAGATCCCCTGGAGATGGGAATGGCAACCCATTCCAGTATTCTTGCCTGGAGAATCCCAGGGACAGGGAGACTGGTGGGCTACAGTCCAAGAGGTCGCAAAGAGTTGGACAGGACTGAGTGACTAACACTGTCACTTTCTTCATAATTGCTCTACGATGTTGTATTGGTCTCTGTTGTACAATGAAGTCGATCAGACACATATGCATACATTCATGCCCTGCCTCTCGGACCTCCCTCCCCCCTCACCCCCACCCCCACTGCCATCCCACCCCTCTAGGTCATCATGGAGCACCAAGCCGAGCTCCCTGGGCTATGCAGCAGGTTCCCGCAGGGCCTGGGCTCCGCTGGCCACATGGCGTAACAGAGCTGGGCTCAGATCAGGCCTCTGGATGCCAAGTTCTCTATGTTCAGATTTATAGCTAGATCTGTGGCTCAGCTCTGGGGTTCAGGCGTGTGTCTCTGAGCCTTTCTCATCTTCATTTTCCCTTCACATCAAGTTCCTTTTGTCTCTGCTTCTGAAAACCACTTTATCCTCCTCTTGAGCTGGGCAGAGGATACATAGGCATGACCCTGGATCTCATATCCTCTCCGCTACATCACCCCCCCCACCCCCATCCTCACTCCCCCCAACCCCCGCAAGCCATCTTTAACTTCAGGATTTCCTCTTCTTCACGGGAATCCCTATTCACCTCTCCCTCTTCCCACT